ATGTTTCGGAGAGCACGAAGGACGATGTGACACCCAGCAGCAGGACCAACTCTCCTCGTCGTCTTATAAAGCAGGTGGCATTGGAATCTCCCCCGAATCCAAATGCTCAGCTTCCATCGCAGCCCTCGGTAGATCTGCACACCTCCATCCTCAAGAATGTCCAGCAGGAGCTCAAGCAAAATGCCGGAGCATCTGGCGGTGGCCTGACCTCCAGTAATAGTATCAAGCGTCCTCGCCAGAAACTGGCTCCTTTTAATGTGGACAGCAATGCCATTCCGGACATCCGATCTCGGTTTGCGGGATCCTGGCCACCACCTCCTTTCCAACCCGTGGATCCCGAGCCCGATGATGATGATGAGGTTGGAGCTGAGGCCTCCAATGGACATGGAACTCAGTCTACCGCTCATGCTCCCCGTGGGGTAAGTTCTAAAAGATTGTATGCCAGGTATTCAGTATTTTAAATATTTAAAACTACAGAGTTCCCGTCGTGTGGGCGACTACACCATCGTGGAGCGCTGTTCCGACTGCGGTGCCCACATTGAGGAATACACGGATGAGGAGATTGGCATCTTTATAGTGATCCTAGGCACCTTTATTCACCGTGAGCCCGCCATGGCAGCTCCGTTTTTGCCAGAGATTCTTACCATGACATCGCGGTAAGTGGATTTATCGAAAATATACAGTGTTGGGACAGGTACCAGATTTTCCTACCAAGATAATAAATATGGTAAAAGGAGCACCGTTTTGAAAGTATCTAATTAAGTTTAAAAGTCCCACTTTAACAGAAAGCTCTCTTCTTTTGGATCTTCTTCGTATTAAGCCTGTTTATTCGCCAGGGCCCGATGGTATTCCTGGGTGCGTGCTTAGGTATTGCGCTAAGGCCCTGTGCAAACCTCTTCACAAGTTGTTTACCTTATCTCTAGAAACCTCCCAATTCCCAAATATTTGGAAGGAATCATTTGTTATTCCTCTTCTCAAAAAAGGTAACAAGTTAGAAGCCAGTAACTACAGAGGTATTTCTAAGTTGTCAGCTATTCCTAAGCTTTTTGAAAAAATTATTACTCCTCATTTGCAGCACCTTTGCAGATCAATCATTTCTCCGTGTCAACACGGATTTATAAAACGTAGATCCACAATCACAAACCTTCTAGAGCTCACTTCATTTGTGATAAAAGGCTTCAATAGTAGTTTTCAAACAGATGTCATTTACACTGACTTTAGTAAAGCATTTGACTCTGTAAATCACTTACTTCTCATTCAAAAACTTGACCTTTTAGGTTTTCCAGTTGATCTGCTTAAATGGATTTCAAGTTATCTAAATGGCAGGTCACAAAGGGTCCTTTTTAAAAATTCAATTTCTGAAATTCTCCGTGTTACCTCCGGTGTCCCACAAGGGAGCCATCTGGGTCCGTTACTTTTTACATTATTTATTAACGATCTTCCATCAATTATAAGTCATTCTCGCGTACTTATGTACGCAGATGATGTTAAGTTGTGCCTGCAGTATAAGGACATTTCCTGCCATTTAGACTTGCAATCCGATCTAGATAATTTTTAAAACTGGTGCCGAGTTACTTTACTAAATTTAAACGGTTCCAAGTGCAAGCTGATGACTTTTTATCGGGCCAATCCGATATACGCGACTTACACGTAAAGTGGCAGCTCTTTGGATAGAATAACTCTTGTAAACGCTCTTGGCGTCCTCTTGGACCCTAAACTAAAATTTTCTAATCACATTTCGTCCATGGTTAATAAAGCCAGAGGAGTGCTTGGATTTATTAAAAGGTGGTCAAAAGAATTCGATGATCCTTATTTGACTAAAACTTTATTTATTTCGCTAGTCCGTCCGATTCTGGAGTATGGGTCTCCCGTCTGGAGTCCACAATACGGAATACATATTGGTCGTATTGAATCTGTACAAAAAAACTTCCTTCTTTTTGCTTTACGGCGCCTAAACTGGGATGCAAACCTTATCTTACCTTCTTATTCTAGTAGACTTCTTTTGATTAATTAACCATCCCTAGCCAACCGTAGAACGATGCTTGGTACTATCTTTATTTATAACCTTATACATGGTGATATTGACTGCCCCGACTTGTTAAGTCGGCTAAACTTTTCTGTGCCAAGTAGATTAACTAGAAATTATTTTCCCCTAATTTTAAATCATTTTAGATCTAACTATGCCTTGCATGTGCCTTTCAGAGTATTATGTTCTGACTATAATAGACTTTTTCCTGTAATATCAAATCTTGACTCTCTGCCGCTCCTAAAACGATTGATACTTGCTTCATTGGCACAAGATTGATCTAACTATTACTTTTTTCCCCGGACCTTTACCTTTATTTTCCTATCTCGCGTCTATCTTATCGCGAATCGTGCCGTACGATACACGGCTGCGCCCCTCGGTCGGTTGGGCGGGTAAGTGGGCCGTGGGACTCCGCGCGAAAAAAAAAAAAAAAAAATAAACAATTTTTGTAAACATTTTGTATCTATGTATATTGAGTCGCTTCTGAACTAAAATAATTTTAATTTTATTTCCATGTCTTAAAGCTTATTTGGGTGGTATTTAACAGACATTATTTCTGATTATACAAATACTTAAACCAAAACCGATAAAAAAAACTATCATATTATATTTAATAAGCCTGTCTTGAAGTGGAACTATTCTTTTTTATACTCTATAGGGAAGATAATAGAAAAAATAAGCAGTAAAGTAAAATTAAATTTGTATTACCTATGAAAATACCCAGCTCAGTTTTAAGAGAAGCCTATAAAGATTAATAAATGGTAGCAAATAATTTGTTAACCTAGGTAAGGTAATAAGTACTACAAAATAGAGTCTTGATAAATACCTAGATACTCCCCAACACTGAAAATATTCTTCCAGGCTAATTTTCTCTCCATTTCAGCATCTGTTTGAGCAGCACCCACGCGTGGCAGGGCGAGAATGGTCCACCCTTGGCCTGCAGTGCCCAGGCGGTGGCCCTTCAGTTCTTCCGCTGCGTGCTTCACCAGTTGGCCCCCAATGGAATCTTCCTGCAAGTGTTCCAGACCCAAATGAAAAGTATGTAATGACTAATGTCTTATAAAAAATGATTTTTCTAATATGTCCCGCTTTCTCCACCCAGTGAAAATCCGTCACAACCACTTCCGAAGCATCGCCAAGGCACTACAAGATTTCCAGGATCTGAATGCCACCAGTCCCATTTACATGGTCTGCGATTCACTGACCTCCAAGAAGGCACTGCCTGTTGAACAGCTGCCCGTGATCTTCCGCAACATGGCCGAGTACTTGAATCTCCAGTGCGTTCCAGCGGAGGCAGGCGTGGGATTGGCCGTCTGGTCACAGGCGATGCAGGCCATGGAGTCGCTCCTGCGCCAAGTGATCGTCGTCATGCCCAGTCTGAGCAATGCAGAGTACATGCTGGACATCATAGCGGCCACTTTGAGACTCAACTGCGTTCCAAAAACACTGCTCGATCCTTACTCCAAGATCATGGCCTATTGTGTGCAGCATACGAATCTGGAATACCAAACGCTCTACGAACTGTGCACCCTGAACATTCGCTCCTTCAACAAGGATCGGGATAAGAACCTACTTTGTCGCCAGATGATCTTTGAGTTCGTCCAGGCCCTGAAGTTTAAGTCGAATATTCCCGACCACAATCTACTCACAATCATCGGATTTGTGCTGCTCGATGCTGGCGGAACTCTTCCCCCAGGAGCTGCTCCTGGATTGCCCGATGCGGCTCCCATGATGACCACCAATTCAGCGGACTGTTTGAGGCAGTATATCAACGATGTTATTGACTTTCTGGCCGATTTTCACACGCTCAGCAAGATCAAGGTATCAAATCTGATGCGAGTCCTTTTTTTATATTGAGAGGTTTTATCAAGTCTTTAAATTAAAATTTTATCTTTACAGAACTTCAAAAACGGCCAGACGAGCAATGGGCTGGGCGAAGACACCTTGGGCGGAGTCCTCAAGGGAGCGGTGGCCCAATACCTGGCCCTGGAGATGTCGCGTGGCAATTCAAGGGACAACAAGGCGGTTTCTCGCTATCTGCCCTGGCTAAACAATGCTCCATCTTCCCTTCAGCAAGGGTAAGTACCAGATTGGGAGAAAAACCTCTTAAAACTTATTGAAATTAAAATCCCTTCTCAGACCCAAGGAGTTCACCGAATGCGTGGGTCACATGCGCCTGCTGTCTTGGTTGTTGCTCGGCTCCCTCACTCACATGGCTCTGATGCAGCGTCGCCAGGAGACGCACAGTATTCCAACGCCCCTGCCCCCGCAGACTGGACAGGGCGCTGGTCCAACGGCCAGTGTACACTACCAGCATCAAGGAGTGACCTACTCGCAGCCGGTGCCGCAGGAAGCCTCCTGCCACATCGCCGATCATATTCAGGTGATATTTGCCGGATTCGCGGAGCAGTCAAAGACCTCGGTACTGCACATGTCCTCGCTGTTCCACGCGTTCACCCTCTGTCAGCTGTGGACGGTCTATCTGGAGCAGATGGCTCACAACACCAACAGCAATGCGGAGGGCAGCACGTTGGGCGTGCTCTTTGAGTTCTGGGCAAAGGTGACGCCCTGCATCCTGCAATTGGTGTCCCACGCCAAGCCAACAGTCAACAAGGATCAGCCGCAGACCCCCTTGGACTTCCAGACGCAGAGCGCCAACTCCAAGCTGTCCGAGATGGTCAACTTGCACTTCCTTAGTCTGTTGGAGGCGCTGAAGGACACCAATTCCACGGTGCTGGGCAAGCTGCTGCCCATGTGGAGTCCCGTTCTCTCCTCGCAGACGCAACTGTCGGACACGCTGCACGTCCGGTTGCAGAATGTGAGGGACTATGCACCCGACTACGAGGAGCAGCAGACCTTCAAGTCGGAGGCTCTTCTCAAGTGGCTGCAGCGCCTGCAGTTCAAGATGGGCCAAATCGAGTTACAGGCCTCCACGGCCACTCAGTTCTATTCTATCTAAATATCACACACATAGTGAGTTATATATGCAGTCTTATTTAGTAATTGTTGCCTACACGAATAAATAGTTCACAATGTTAGTTTGTTGTAAAAGGACGAGCAGGAATGGGATTCTATCACACGCTCTGCTCACAGGTTACTCGAAAACTGTGTAGTGAATGCCACTGGTGGCTACCCCTCTGTCTTGAATTGAGGGGTCGAGCACTTCATTCGCCTCGCTGGCTTTTTGCCTGCCTTCGATGAGAAAATTGGCTTGGGGATCGCGATAGTTGCGGAAGGATGCCTTGGTTTTCAGGACAGATTCCTCGGGCAGGATAACTCCTGCTGCCAGCCTGGACTCTTTATGCCTGGCCAGCCGCTGCTCAGCCTGCTGAATGCGCATCTCCTATGAATAAATTTGATTAAACAGGAACTTTTTTAGGCCAAACATAGGCACTACCTTAACTCTTTGCATGTAATCCATTTGCAGGGTGGCTGACTCCGCCAGCGGCACCAGCTGCACTTCCTTGTGCTGAATGAGGGGCGGGGTGGCCGCTGTTATTTCCCAGTGCTTGCCCTTTTTGCGCACTCGCTCCTTGTCGGGATCGTGGACATTTGACCTTGTGGTGCGGAATGGCATAAACTTTTCCCTGGTAGTGGCATTCACGTTCGTTTCCGTCTTGTCTATGAGGTAGAGGGAATGCTGGTCGGGCGGTTGCTCCTTAGTCAGCTTGGCGGCCACTTGACTGGCGTCTATCTCAATAATCTCGGCAGGCAAGGAACTGGTGTCACTCTGTCCTGCCAAAGCGGAATCTGGAGAGTCAGCAGGCTTTTTAAAGTCCTCGATATCCGCCAGATCCTCGGCCGTGATGAGACTCACTGTCGGTGGAATCACCTTAACCTTCTTCTCGTGCATCGTTCCTTGGGCTATAATCCTTAAGGGATCCATCTCCACCTCATCATCGCTGTCCAGAATGTCGTCCACATGGGCGCCTTCGTCCGTGGTTCTACCATTCCACTCCAGATTATTGAGAGCGATCTTTCCCTTTGCCACAATATTGAGACCGCTCAGCATTCGAGTCGCTTCTTCCACTTCATCGCGACGTTTGATCTCGTCCAGCAGTTTGTCGTAGGACTCCTGGAGGCGCTTTCCCTTGTCTGGCAACTGTACGAGTCTCTTTCTGGAGCGGGAAATCAAAAAATAAGTTGGAACTCTACAGGTCGACACCAAAAACTCACTTAAAGGAGAGAAAGTGCGACTGCCTGTCCTTAATCTCTAACAGCTGGACATAAGACAAGGTCTTTAAGTCCTTGCTGTGCTGTTCCTTCAACTGACTGGTGCCCGGGATTCGACTTAGCGGAGCAGCAATCACATTTTCGTCCATTTTCGCAATTTCGTTTATTTTGGTTTGGATGTTAGTGTGACCGAGCCTTTGGCTACGTGAAAATACTTAATATTGTCAATGAAACGAGGGTTTCGTTAATCCGCAGGGTGTCTATCGATATAGAGAAATAGGCGCGTTAATTTTAAAAGAGTACTCTGCTTATTTCTATCTATATTTAAAATTATTGTATTTTACTTCTTTGATTTTTGGTATGGTTGATGATAGCGCACTTAAGATATAAAGCATTGAAGCAACTACAAAATAAATAAATAAAAAAGTGTTTCGTCTTGATTTTTCAAACGAATTTGATTTTCCCAAATGTTAATTCTCGGTTTTCTCTAAATAAAATACAGTTCCAAAAAAGCCAGGGCACACATTCTATTGTATATGCCGAACGACGCGATTGTGTACTCCGGACCCTACGAAGTGGGACGCCTTCGACGCCGGCGGGATCGACGGGTGGAGGAGTATCTTTTCAGGCGCTCCACTCGCACCAGCAACCCACCGCTCGAGGTCACCATGTGCCGCATCACTAAGCTGGTGGCCTACTTCATCGTCTTCTTCTTGGTGCTGGGGGCTTTCACGGGCGGATTGGCTGTGCTGGTGATGGCATTACACATACCGGCGGATAGGCCAGGGTGCCCCAAGTTTCCCGGACTATGCACCACGCCCGGAACGTATGTGGGCGACCAGAAGCAAATCGTGTGGGGCATCGGCAACGAGAAGGAGCTGGGCGCCATCCGGCGGAAGCTGTCGCGCATAGTGGAAAGTTATGGCCTCGAGGGACCCAAGCGCATGATGGCCTGCAACCTGGACGACAGCTGGGGCTACGCCTCCGGCAAGCCCTGCATCCTGATGAAGCTCACCCACGCACTGGGCTTCGAGGCGATCACCTACAACGATGCCATGACCCTGCCCGATAACGCTCCAGATGAGCTGTACGACTACGTGGTGGATCTGGGCATGGAGGCGCGGATGAACCGCATATGGGTGGCCTGTCAGGTGAAGAACGAAAAGGGATTGGATGTTAAGATCGACTATGTGCCGGAACGCTTTTTCGAGGCTGAGGCTCTGTTCACCAAGGGCAATGTCTTCCTGAACGACTCCTCCGACAACGAGGGCGGCACCTACACTGAGGATCCCAGTCTGAGGCGCATAATCGGTGTCCAGTTCCTGAACTTACCGCCCAACCGGGACATCCAAGTCCGCTGCCAGGTGTGGGCCAAGAACATCCCGCTCCATATGGGAACGGCAAGAATCTTGTTGCACCAGACGGCGCCTGTTCACCCCACCACACCATTGTTATTGGACGAGTGGTACGATTGAAATATGCTGTCCTTATAAATTTATCTCAAGAAAGTACCTTTCAAGTGGATTTATTTAACTTAATGTTACGAATTACATAATGACAAAATTTGATTAATAATATCTTCAGATGCAATAATTAAACTCAAATGTTTTAATGATCAATGAAATCTATTAACTTGGAAAAAGTAAATATGAATCTTTTGGATTTGTTTATAGATGAAATAAACCCCAATTTACACAAGAAACTTTTAATATTTTAGGAAGTATACTTTTTTTGGATATTGTACAATATATATATTCTATTATAATCGAGGGTGATCCATAAAGCTCTTATCTTAGTCTCTTAATCCGTATCAACTTCTAGCAAATTTTAAAATACTAATACTAATACTAATACTAAATACAAACCGACTTTTAGCTTTAATCATCTTACTTTGCGTTACATTTCACAGTGAACGCTATCATCTACAGATCGATGTTCTTACAAATTTTCGAATATCTTTTAATCACATAATTTTAATACCCAATACCCTCATAAGCTGTAACGACCGCCAGGATGCCCGAGGATGTGATGGTGCCGTCGGGGGACTACAAGCTGGTCAAGCAGTTTCGCAGGGAGCAGACGGTACGCCGCAAGAAGGATCTGCCGTGGTCGAAACGGGTATTCGACATAGACGAGCACAAGTTGTTTGGGCGCACCGCCTGGGCCTGGACCCGGATCACGCTCTTCTATCTGGTGCTGTACTGCTTGATTTTCGTTATTGTGCTCTTTTGGATTGGCATATTCCTGCTGGCGATCATCGATCCCCATAAGCCACGCTGGCTCAAGGGGCCGCCGGGAATGTCGGTGGTGCCCAACAACGAGTCCGTGCTCACCTGGTACACGCACATACTGGGCGAGATCTATCCGATCGCGGACACCATCGACGACTTCCTAAACAGTCTAAACGACAATGGCATCGACTTCTTCAACGAAGCCAACCAGGACTCAATATGGGGCTATGGATCGAGGAAGCCCACCGTCTTCCTTAAGCTAAACAAGGTGATTGGGTATCAGCCGGAGACCTACGACACTGCGGACGACCTGCCCAAGGACGTGCCCTCAGGACTCGACAACACCGTGCGAAAGTATGGCGGCACCCCGAAGATCTGGGTCACCTGCGAAGCTTCCAAGGAAAGCAACGCCGAGCTCGTCTTCTTCCCGGGACCCTTCTTCGAAGCCTCCGAGCAGATGACGGGGGTGCAACGCCTGGTGGCCATCCAGTTAAACAACATGGCCCCAAACACTGAGGAATTCTTCTGCTGCAAGGTCTGGGCGCGCAATATTCCCATCGATGAAAAGTTCCAGGGCAAGGGCCAAATCAGATTCGGAATGAACATGCGCGTGGAGACCGTCAGGAAGCCGAAAATCGATCAGGTCCAGACCTCCACTACCGTCACTCCCAATGCGGGTCCTGAAGTGCCAGACGAAATCGAAGAGGAGCCAGAGAACCCCGCAAAGCGCCTCGGTGGGCTGGATATGCCGCTTGCTCCCGAGCTAGAGCCGTCCCCGAATGAAAAACTGCAGGAAATACCTAAGGCCGAGCTTCTCACGGAGCCTCCCAGCTAAATCGAATTTTAATATATCCATAGCCATCCTGTTTTTTGAATTCCTTGTTAACCAATTGAATGAAACTTCGCTCAAAGCTGGAACCAAAAATTAAACTCTGTGCAAATTGTTGATCTGAAAATAACCATATTTCTCAGATTATGGCTAAACTGGATTTAAAATTTTATAAGTAGTTGAATTATATATTCTATCAAGCATCTTAAGCGAAATTTTAAATGTTAATATATATATCTTACCAAAATTTGTAGACTGTCAACATCATTAGGTATATCGTAAATTAATTGAATTTTTTAAATATTTTTGAATTGAGATATAATTTAAAGAAAAAAATCAATATTACAATACTTTTATTTTAAAGTGTAAGAAATCGTATTATGGAATTCAATGGTTGGAAACAAAAATTTGTTTAAGTATATGAAATAAATAATATTTGAGTAATTTAAAATGGAGTTCCCCTATTGTACCTTGGTAACCGACGTAGGAATAGTCTAATCGTCGCTGCTATCGATAGTCCGCAATGGACGACGCACACCACTAGGCGTGACCGCAGCACTGGCGATAGAGACTCGGCAAAATCGATACTTGGCCTATCGGAATCGAAGTATTTTGCATGAACATCGAACTTCAGCTCCGCTCCGACACGCAGTAACTTAATAACAAAAACTCATTACTAATATATTATTGCTGCCGACTTGCAAGCGAAAAACGATCCCGACTATAGGCAAATCGCAGTCCCCAGTTGTACGTAATCATTTGAGCAATAAATCAGCGGCTAATCGCCAAATTGCTATTGAAATTTCGCCTGCAAGAGTGTGTGTGTGTGTATGACTCGTGTTTTTAGCCGACAATTGGAGAAAAAAAGCATTAAAATTTAAGTTGGTAAACTAAGCGCCGATAATTTAGTCAAACAAAAGCATAAACATAAACAAAAAGTGCTGGTGCAGCAATTTGGCAGCGAAACAAACACCTCAGTGGTTCTAACAGATATATAAATTAAATATAGAAAGTGCGTGCGAAGGTTAAGCGATTCGAGTGCAAGTGCATTTACATTTGGAAATAATAAATACGCTAGTCAGCTAAAATTCGCCAGCAAATTCGCTTAAAAATCTAATTCTGTATTCTTCACTCTCTCGCAGCGAATCAAGCAGGAAAATACCGGATAATAATTGGCAAAGATGCAGATCAAGGAATTGTAAGTATGCCAATTTAGCTTTTATTTGTGCAAATTTTAAATTATTATTTAAAATGCCTAAAAAGCTGTGCAAGCCGCAAATGATTTGTGACAAATCGATTTTTTGCTCTCTTCATGACATTCGCTCTCTTATGCTCTCTCTGTCCGTGTCGCGTGTCGTTTCTTTCTCCCTCTCTCTTACTAAAATTGTTTTTGCTGTATTTTAGTTTGCGAGCATTTTCCGCAACAACAACAAAATATTGTGTTTCTTATCAGCCCCTTGCCGCCCCCTTCCCCACCCCCTCTCTCGCCCTCTTTTTCTGTTTCAGGTATTTTGCAGCTGTGGCGATGACGTAATAAGTTCCAAGTGGAAGCTACGTAATACATCTTATTCTTATAAGAAATCCCACGACTAATTAGTTTTTGAAACTCCTTTGAGTCATCATCAAACTATGCTTTACAAATAAGATAATGCTTTTGAGTCGCCCAGCGACGCCACGTCGTTGGTTATGCCTTTTCGTGAGTCACTCTCTTTGGCGCCTCTCTTTTTCCCATAACTCTCTTTTTCGGCATTCGGCTCTGCGATTTTAATCAAACAAGTTGTTAAGTACGATAAGGTCGTTGCGTAAACCCCATTAAGTTGAGTCACTGTAAGCTGGAATCCTTTTCGGTGGAAAAACACAATGCGATATTTTTCTCATTTGCAAATAGCTCACGTTTTTCTCCCCTCATTTTTGCTCCCACCTTTGGCAGTGATACTTTTAATTTATTAACGGAAATTGCCAAAAGGCTGAAATCAAATGGGTCGGATTATAATTGATTTTGACTTTGACAGCTGACGAAAAAAGGGGGAAAATCAGAGCAGATAACGCACTGAGAATGAAAACTCAACTAGACGATGTTAATCTCCGTTTTCTTATCAATAAATTTTTACAATTTTCATAGCCGCGTTTACACAATCTATCACATCAATCTGATAAGTGAACTTCGATTGAACATAAAGAGGGCCTATTACTGATAAATGATTGATACGTAAATGCGGTTTGTAAAGCTTTTAATTCACGATTAATATGTGACAAACAATTTTTTGGCTTAAAGTTTTAAAGTTCAATGAACCAGATCTTCTAAAGCTATTTTCTGTAAAATAACTTAAAAGAAGAAAGAACTTTGTTATATCATTTATAAATGTTTCCTACAATTGTGAAAACAATTAAACTACTAATGTTTTTCAAAGCAACACACCCTTTATTTAAGATAAAAGAACGTTTTTTATTCACACTGTTATAATGATAAAAAAGATTTACTGAACATTGCATATTATCAACGAGTCTGCACTTACATACTTAAATGACCAATTAAATGTATTCATTTTTTTACTATTTATAATATGGGGTAAAATGTTTTATAATGTATATAAAATAAAAATGATTGCCCATTAAAACATTTTTTCAAGAAAATTAGGAGTATTTAAGGCCACTGGATTTTACTGATCAATAACGCTCTTTGCATAAGTTGACAGAGGCAATCTTCATGTAGGGAATTAATCTTTATTTAATCTCGATGTTGTAATCCCCACATGAAGCCTTTACCATTTCCATTGCAAAATGTTTTTTTCTGCCAGATTTTTCAATTTTTTCTGCCAGCTGCTAGATTGTAAACCATTTGGCAATGAAAATTTCAACACCATCATTAAATGAAAAATAAAGGAGAAAATATAGACAACGCGTGCCGGAGCAGGTTGCTGCAGGTTGATAAACAATTTTAAATGACCACGGGGCAAAAGTGGAAAAATGGATCAAAAGCAGCACAAAAAAAAAAACAAAAACAAATCGTGATAGTCCGCATTTTGCATGTTGTATCAGAAATTGTGTTTTATTGTAAACAATAATACTTTAAGTGCTGCACTTAATTTTTTGAAATTAGAAATTTATTTAGGACAACAATTTATATGTGAATAAGCAGTGCGGTTTAGCAATCGAGCAATTAACATTGATAATATTATTGCATTAAATATATATAAAGTATAAATTTATTTAAAAGATGAATTTTTTATCAAAATTCATACATAACAATTATAAAGATATTTTAAAGAAGAAGAAATTCGAAAAATGTTGTCTACCTTTACAAGTTGTGCTCATCTTGTGACTGTATTTACTGTAAACTTTAAGCCAAACTCATCTCATATTATAGTTATGAAGTGTAACTTTCAACCTTCTCAACTTTAATCTCTGAAAGCAAAAGCTTGTTTTCAATGTCAGTCATCGACGGTACTCGTCGTAAACTAGCCCTAGCGTGACTTAACTGGCCCAACTGATTGGCTCACTTTGTACACCACATATGTATCCATCAGACACAGCTCTCCTCGCACCCCTCCTGTCCATCCCGCAATCAATTTGAAAATGGCACGAGCTCCAATTTAGTTCCGCCATTTGTGTTTTTTATGTACTGCGATAAGATAACACGCAGCGGTTTGTGTCCGTGGTTTTACTTCCCAATGGCACTGTCTGTACTCATTACACGCCTCGATTTTGTGAAGTTTCAGTTGTTTCGAAAATGGCTGGCAATTGAGTGTGACTGCTGTTAACCGACAGCATAAGTGGGCACCGAAAGTAGAGGAGTATGCCACAATCACATTTGGGGAGAGCCGCCAGCAAGCAATTTGACCTTAATATTTTAGTAATTTATCAAAAACTACTACATAATAATATTTCAGTTTCATGAATGACTGCTTTCGGGTAATTTGGTACTCCGTTTTGAAAATAAAATGGTAGATATCATGGTTCAATTGCAAGTTTAATACATTTAATTGTTAAGCCATTTTAATATAATAGTAAAGTAATATCAACAAATAGTTACTCCTCTAAGATTGCATATATTGATTGTAAAGATATTACGGTAGAAATAAAATGACCTTGAAATGAAAATAAAATTTTTATTGTAAGTGAAGTATTTTTCAATGCAGTGGTTTCTGGTTTTATTGTAAGTTTGAAGTATTGTTCAATGCAGGGGTTCAGTAGACAAACATAGGATTAAGAGGAACAATTTAATTACGGGCTCGAATTTGTTTTTGCTGTTATTGATTGAGTCGACTGGGCAATCGCTGTGTGACATCTTTATTGCGGGTAAATTAATTATTACTTGGCTTTGGACTTTAGTGGCGGCAGTGGCCAGTGGGCGGCCCTCAATAATGGCCACCACAAGAGCCTTGGCCGAGTGCTTTCCCCTTGGCCCACACGCACGCCCACATACAGATGCGGACACACAGCGCGCCACACAATCACTTTCCATTTTCAATTATGCCAACAAACGCAGACGATTTCCCTTGTTCATGGCCACAAAAGAGGGTTGAATTGAGGGGTCTCCCGAGTGTTTCTTTCGGCAACTTTGGTCTCATTTAAGAGTTCTTCAATATTCTCCTGATGTTTTTGTTTTCCGTGCCTCTTCTACCAACCTCAACCCCCTTTTAACCCCACTGCCCATGTATGACGATTTCTTTTATGTTTCTATTTTCGTTTTTGCATAATTTCTTTATTTGTACCATTGTGCTGTGATTCATAGAAAACCCTCGCACAAACACGACTATATCTTTTGATCTTTCGCATTGGGATATTTGACCCAGTTAGATGTTGTTTCGACTATTTCGTTTTCCCCTCAGTTCTTGGAAATGTGTTTACTTATATCAACTTAACTTATTGAGAAAGAACTTTTGTCACACAAACACGTTCTGCCCTCCTCTTTAAGTACCGCCATCAGTTGGTCTTCCAATGATTTTTCTTCTTTTGGGTTTTCAGACTACGAGTTTTGTTAGCATTTCCCAGTAATATGCCTTTTTTTCCTTAAAGAAAAAAGTTTGGTAATTGAAGGCGGAAGAATAATTTTTTATGGGCAATTTATTTGCGTAAAAGTTTTACAATCTTATTTGATTAAACGGCAAATGCTGCGGGAAATTTGTTGAAAGGAAAAGTTTTACTGCTTGAATAATTGAAAGCTTTGATAAAATCGTTAGAGCCGAAAAAAAAATATTAAATTAGACGCTTATCACTTTAAAAATTATTGAAATCATTTATCTAGATGGGATTGAATAAATAATTTTGGTTCCTTTTATCAGTATCTGTTTTGTTTTATTTGTTGCACAAAATTAAATCAATGGAAAAGAAATAATTTAACATTCAGTGGATTCGGTGTTAATGTA